CGCTTTGGCGCTCGGCGAGCCTCGCGCTTGGCCGGCGATAACGCGCAGCAATGCGGCAAAAGCAGCACAACCTGCAAAAGCGAGAGGCAAAGCCAAACACTCTTATTGCCGTTCGGCTGGAAATATAAAATAGCGAATTCCCGCCGGGGCTGCGGGTTCGGGGTTTCGGGGTTGGTGTCTGCGGGCTGTTGCTGCGCCGCACAGTGGGCCAGAAGACCAGTGGGGTCGGCCAAAATTTTAGACGCGTTTTGAGCTTTAGAGTCGCTAAATGGGACTCGAACCGAACGTGTGACTTCACCAATGGATTCCTTGTTTGGAGAGCAATCCATTGGTGGGCTCACACGCGAGGTTTTAGACCCATATAGCGACTCTGGAGCTCACAACGCTTCTGGAGTTTTGGCCGCTTCCACCGGTCTTCTGGCCCACTGTGAGCAGCGGCCCTTCCCGGAACGGCGGCCCAGTGGTGCTGAAAGCGCGGCCAAAGCTTGCCGAGAGCGCGCTGAAAGCGGCCGAGAGCGTGCTGAAAGCGCTGAAAGCGTTTGCACATGCTGTTGCGCGCCCCGACGGCCCCGCCACCCCGGGGGGATGGTAACAGTGGTGCTGCAGTAAAAAGTTGCAGCTCAAAACTGCGCGCGGTAGGCACGGCCAAGGCGCTGTCCGGGTCGAGCGCGTAATTCTCTTTGCCTTCTTACGGACGATTTATTCACTTGCCCAGTCGCTTTAACGACCGAAGGCAGAAAAACACAAGTTTATCGTTGTGCACTTCTGGAATATGCACAGCGAGAAATGAAGGCCCTGACCAGCCCTCTGTGTTGCAGGAGGCGCCATGGACGGAGCCAGCCTGGCCGTGTCCGTCTTTGCCTTCGCCCTCTACGTCAACACCCTGGGCGCGGGCTTCGTCTACGATGACAGGTGAGTGAGTCCTTCGGCTTCCTCGACGCAACGAGACCAGGACGCGTTTTGAGCTCCAGAGTCGCTAAACAGGACTCGAACCGAACGTGTGACCCCACCAATGGATTGCTCTCCAAACGAGGGATCCATGGGTGGGGTCAAGCGCTCGGTTCGAGTCCTGTTTAGCGACTCTGGAGCTCAAAACGCGTCCAGAGTTTTGGACGCCTCCGCCGGCCTCCTGGCCCACTGAGCGTCGGTGCCCAGCGCGCCGAAAAAGTGGCCCAAAAGTCTAAAAGGCCCCCAAAATAATTATCGGGGGCCCAAGCTGCCCGTTTTACCAATTTTTTGGGGCCCCCAAATTTAATCTTTTTTTTCCGGAAAAAAGGGGGAAAAAAAAGGGGGAAACTTCTCGTAATTGTGACCATAACTTTCGGCCGGCCGTGCTGCTCACCCAGGGCACGCAGTGAAGGTCGTCGTAATCCAGCGCTAAAAAAAACAAAAAAAAATGGAAAAAAATATAGGGGAAATGGGTGGCACGCGAAGAGTGATTACAGACACCATCGACGCTGCCTGTTAATTGGCCGTTCGTTATTTGCACGATCGGCCGGGCAGGACACCTGGAGTGTCAATAACGTGTCCGTCTGACTGTCCCCGTCTGTTCGTCAGCTGACAAAAAAGGAGACGAATAATTTTTAACGTAAAAAATACCAGAAAAATCAACAAAATTTAAGCGTAAAAAACGTAAAAAGGGTAAAAGAGGTAAAAAAAGTAACTAAAAACGGTTCAAAAAAGTTTGTAAAAAAGTAAATTAAAAGTTTAAAAAAGTAGAACATACAGATGCGCACGGAAAATTCAATGTTGGTGAACAAAAAAATAAGAAAAATGGTGGCTTGGTATTGGGCAGTGTGTGGCGCAAAATAAACCCCCATGAGCCCCCCCCCCCCCCCCCCGGCGCGGCTAGCGTCCTTGCCAGGAAATGTAGCACGGGCCGCGGGCCGTGGGTATAAAACAATAAAGCGTTTTCGTCTCGCGAGGAGATTATTTCCAGCGAGCGGCAAATAATTATGTCGCAGGGCCAGCAGCGCGGCGAATGGAACGAATTAGCGCTCACGGCGTGGCGCTGTTATCACACCGCCGCCAGGTGCGCGGATACTCTGTACTTTCTTATTTACAGTGTGCCAGCTCGATTCGCGGGATGAACAGCACTGTCCTCGGGGCAGCAGCAGGACACTTGCATTCAGCACGACGCGTTAATAGAGCTTTCCCTATTTTCAAAAAAAAAGAGAGAGAGCTGCAATCTAGTTATTTTGTCCCCCGCACACGTTGCACCACGATGGGATTCCTACCAACAGCATGGCTTGCAACGGTGGTGGTGTGTGTGTGTGTGTGTGTGTGGGGGGGAGGGGGCGGTACGGAGAAACAGCCCTGACCACTCTATCGGGCGGGCCCTGGACGGGCCATGCTAATTCTGGGTGCGTTCTCGGCACGACTCGAGTGCCGCGCGCGCCACGCCAGAGACGTATCGCCTTATCAGGGCCATGTACGCCCCCCTTCCCCCTTCCCCCCCCTCCCCTTCCCCTCCCCTTCCCCCCCCCGAGCCAGTGGGGCCCCCAGTGCGGTGCACCCCTGGAGGCAAAGGCGGGCGCAACGGACTACCCGGGGGGAAGGGGGGGGGGAAGGGGGGGGGGAAGGGGGAGGGGGAAGGGGGGGGGGGGGGGGGGAAGGGGGGAGGGGGAGGGGAGGGGGGGGGGAAGGGGGGGGGGGGAAAGGGGGGGGGGGGCCAGTTCAGGAAATGAGTCTTTCAGAAACAGAATCCGAAAGCGGCCGGCAACAGGCCCAGCGGGCTCTGCGTCTTTGCAGAGAGAGAGAGAGAGAGAGAGAGAGAGAGGGGGGAGAGAGAGAGAGAGGGGGAGAGAGGGGAAAGGGAGAGAGAGAGAGAGAGAGAGAGGACACGAAGCTCAGACAGACAGACGTAGGGAGACATACAGGCTTACAGACGGACTGGCAGACATTGCGCAGAGAAGCACAGGTTCTTTTCAAAGTACTACTGCCCTAGAAAAACACACAGACAGACAGACAGGCAGGCAGGCAGGCCGGCAAACACAGGGCGACAGCACTGAAAGAAAAAGTGTGAATAGTACAACAAATGTACAACAAAAACTGTACAATAAAAGTACAACAGGGATTGTAGAAAGTACAACGAGAATTTGTACAAACCACAACGAGGCCTGCACTGCCCAGCACTCGTCATCCCGGGTTTCTATTGTATTTTGTACAACAATTGTTGTACTTTGAAAGTACAATAAAAACCTGAAAAAAAATTTGCCAAAAATTTGTGTATTTTTGTTGTGGTTATTTCCTGCAGTGGGGGATTGGAGGGGGGGGGTATTACTTGTATTCAAACAGTGTGTTGCCTGGCTGCTGCACCATTGCACAGGAAGGGAAAAGTTTTGTCGCGGCCCGACGGACGAGGCGCACGGCTGCAACTAATTGGCGAACAAACAGGACTCCCACACACAACACATACACACACACCTACACCTACACACACACCACACACACACCACACACACGGGACGAAACTCGCACCAGAGACAGACGCCACGTTTTGATTTCATAAAATTAATTAGCAAACGTGTGCTACTTTCTCTCCCCGAGTCCAACTTTTACAGCGGCAGACCACACCACCACCGCACTGGGGCGTGGTGAGTTCATAGAGAGCCAGCACTTCTCGCGCGCGCATTTTAACGTGTGTTTTCCGCAACAACTTTCAATGCCAACTTTTTTTCCCGCTTAGTTTTTTTTTGCAGGCTAGGGTGCAGTATGGCGTATAGTAAGAAGATAGTGCGACGAGGCACGTTTTTCACAACAATGCGTATCTGCGGCATCCACGCCACTGCCATGGCGCCACTCTCTCTCTCTCTCTCTCTCTCTCTCTCTCTCTCTCTCTCTCTCTCTCTCTCTCTCTCTCTCTCTCCCCTCCCCCCGGTCACGCAACACATACTGCTCCAAAGCGTTCCGTAACTTGGTCCGACACTACGGCCTGCAAACGCCGGGGCTGCCGCTATCGCGCCAACGCACGCCGTCGAGGGGTGTTGACGCGAGAGAACCGGGAGGGGGGGGGGCGGGAAGCAAGCAAGGCGTCGAGACAAGCGGAGACGGCGGGCAGGGGCGCCGCCAGCTCTGAAAATCGGAGCCGGGAGCGCCAAACTCCGATAAATTGGGTTAATTCTTTAAGAATGGATCCGCCGGGGCCGGGGCGCGAACCCGAGGTTTATTTTCCGCTCGGCGTTCCCGCTGGGAACTGCCGGGCCCCGTGTGACTCGAGGAATCTATGGCGGAATGCGTTGGCGATGGCGCCGTGGCTCGGCTCGGCTCGGCCCCCGGGTGCTCGGCTCGGCACGGTAAGAGCCATAAATCAGAGAGCAGTACATGATAGCACAGAGCATGTTGCGGGGGTAGGGGGCGATCTGGCGTGGACTGCATGAGGATTGCATGCAGGGGGTGGGCCCGGGACGTGGACGAATAAGAAGGGAAGGTACCGGAGAGGGTAGCAAGTGGGGCGGTGGACCAGTGGAGCCAGTTAAAATCCCGGACGCGTTTTGAGCGCCAGAGTCGCTAAATGCGACTCGAACCGAGCGTGTGACCCCACCAATGGATTCCCCGTTCGGAGAGCAATCCATCGGTGGGGTCATACGCGAGTTTTGAGGCCCATATAGCGACTCTGGAGCTCAAAACGCGTCTGGCCGCCTCCACCGGTCTGTGCTAAGCACTACATTGTGACTGATGCCGCTGCAGAGCTACCCACTGCAATGGAGAAGCCCCAAGACGAGCGCGCTGAATAAAACATCCGCACAGCCATGTGCTTTATGGAGCGCCATCAATTCAAAGCGGGCAAAAATAACCCACATTCCGAAAACATTCTGCTCGGACTCGCCAGAGCGCGCCAGCGTCGCTGGGGCGGCGGCACGGCACGGCCCGGCACGGCCCGGCACGGCGCACCCTCGGGGTGGGGGAGGAAGGCCCGCCATTTGGAGCTGCAACTCTCTAAAGTTTGGGCTGCACTGCGCGGAGCCGGCGTGCGTCATGTGAATAGCAGGGAAATTACTCCGGAAGTGTGTGACGCGTTGCCAACAGGGGGACACACTCGTGTGTGTGTGTGTGTGTGTGTGTGTGTGTGTGTGTGTGTGTGTGCACCGCCAGGCGAGCCTGGATCCAACCAACGCGGAGCTCAGTATGCACCTCCCGCTTTCTTACTGCGGCGAGGCCGCACCGCACTGTCGAACGGGGATTTTTCCCTCGGAGACGTTTGAGTTGGCAGCAGTGTCGTGACGTCGATGATGGACCGGCCGGCGAGCACACTGTATTGCTCCGGGGAAATCAGCGAAATGTCCCCCGCGGCCGTTACGGTTATTGCTATCAGCCTGATTAGCATAGCGACGGATGGGCTGACAGACGGACGGACGGACAGACAGACAGACTGAGGTGGACACCACAGAGGGCTCTCGGACTCCCAGAGTGGATGGGCGAAGCCGAAGTGGCGATGCGCAGAAACCAAAACCAACATCAGCCGGCCAAAAGTCTAGACGTGTTTTGAGCTCCAGAGTCGCTATGACTGGAACCGACCGTGTGACCCCACCAATGGATTCCTCGTTCGGAGAGCAATCCAGTGGCGGGGTCACACGTACGATTTGAGTCCCATTCAGCGACTCTGGAGCTCGACTTGCGTCCACGGTTTCGCCCGCCTCCACCGGTCTGCCGGCACACTGTGCGACAGCCTCTGCCAGTGCCGATTCTCGCCAGTGTAGGCGGGGCTCCTCATTGTCATGCAGAGTGCAAACTGGAACCCGTAAGGCCGTAACCTGGTGTTACGTAATAAAGGGACTGTTCCTTGCCTCGCCTTACCGCTATCACCGGTCAACTCCTCCATCACTGTCATGCCACAATGTCCCAGGCGGGGCCTGTCGACCCGTGGGCTGCCGTAGGCTTGGCGCGCCCCTACGAGCGATGGCGGAGCGCGG